TCCCTACCCTACCTAAACGTAACCCCTTTTTCAAACGTTACTTATAACTGATACAATAATAGTTAATGAATATGAACACGCAACCACCCCTTGTCTGGATGAATGGATTTCTCTGTATCCTTTGAAACTGTAAATTATGATTTTTTTTTGCCGTGCCTTTAAAACCCAGTAAATTTAAAAATAAGTTACGCCAAAATTCGCTTGTGGATGAAATGGAACTAATGTCTATAATTTAATTATAAAATTAAATTCGAAGCTTTTAGCTTCCATTTTTGAAACATGGTTAGAACTGTGTAGCGAAAAAACATATTTTAAATCAGTTAATTTATAATATTAATGCTCTGTAAATTTACATTGAGCACTATTTTTTTTTAAAATAAAAATATCTATAAGAACACCGGATTATATATCTTACTGTTCTTTATATATATATATATATATATATATATATATATATATATAATTTTTTTGTTTAAAAATAGTTTAAATCTGGCAATAATTTTTATTATTATAAAAGTTACTTTGGTGGGTAAAAATGTTTGAGTAGGCATTCATATTTGAAGACATTAATCTTGTTGATGTTAATTCCAGTTTGGAAATAAGGATGTTTACTCAAAAGCCTAGCCCCAATAACTAACGTAAAATTTACATATATAAACACATTGGCACGCGCATTTATTTCCACTTTGTCACACATTAATATATATATAATTTATATATATATATCTAAGACAGACAGAAGTACGCACCAAGAAATACTTTGTATCATTTTTAATAACGGAAGAATGATAGATGCTATTCAAATTAATAAGATTGGTTTTCAAAAGAATATCATCTGTAAAATCTTTCCTAAATTTTAATGAAAAGTTTCAATTATGAATCTGTATTCAATAACGGACAGATAGCTTTTTGAGATGTGTGTGTAAGAGTGCGTACCTGTCTATGCTCATGTATGTGAAAGATTCTAGCTTCATCCGTCAGTTATGGAAATGTTTCCTTTCAATTTCTATAATTTTGTCAACATTTTCTCTTAAAATAAGAATGCATACGTTTTTCCATATTTCGCTAGCAATATGCAATCATTTCCCCAGATACTTTGTCATTTTCGACAAAAATATTAATGAGAGAATTAATAAAAACTTAAAGGACATTTTCTAGCAATTTTCTTTTTTTTTTTTTTAAATCGCATAATAATAGTGCTCTTACGCAAAATTTTACAATAGATTTTGTTTAGGATTATTTTTTTTAAGATTGCATGCATAAAATATTATCATTTTCCCATTTTTACTGTTGTTTCAGTTTTTTTATTTGTTTTTTGTTTTGCTATAAAATATTTTTTACAGTTTTGCAATTATCTATTTCAATTTTTTTCTTTAAATTTTTGACTCGTGAAATAACGGAAAATATCTAAAAACACACACAGATGTGGGCGTTTTTACTTTTGTACTTTGGTCGACTATCTAACAGAAAATGACAGAGAAACACGACAGAAACTATCGAAAGGACTAACGTGTGAAATAAAATTGTTATTGATTTGGTACAGAAAAAAAAATCAAAATAAAAGAAATCAGACCGAGAAAGGTGCAATGAACTCAATAAAACGAAACATTTCTTTTTAGATAAATAAACGGTAAAGCATTTATAATTTTTGCTGATATTTGATTTTTTTTCCTCCAGCATTAACTCATTGCCGAAGTGGCAACACAAAGAGAATAGAATTTGAATTGCAAATTCCATTAAGAAAAATTTCAAACATGTTTAACAACTATTTTTTTTTTCCGAACAATACAAACTAGAATTCAGTATAAAGTATTTTTCGTACGAATTCAGTCTTGATAGTTTAACTCGTCTTGGAGAAGAAAATAAAACCAATAAAACTCCCAGAACTATTTATTCTAAAAACACAACCGTTAAACGTCTGTTGCTATCGTGCTTACGCAGAGATTTTAAGCATGTAAATACGTTTCCATCTGTTGACGATTTTGTTTTTCATTCAATCTTTTATTTTATTTTTTTTTTTTTTTTAGTTCTTTCGGAAATCGCCTTCTATTGTTGGGCTCGACCTGTGAAATTTGCTTTTACTTCTTTTCTCTATATTTTCTCAGGTGGAGGATGCGAAGAACGATAATGGACTAATGATTAAATTGATTTTTTTTTTTTTTCGGAAAAGTCTTTCAAAATAACTTTGCATATGATTATTTATTTATTTTTGGCTTCATCGTTTGAAAATAAATTGTCGAAATATGTGTGAATATGCACATATTTATACGAGCAGAACTACCTGGCGTAAGTGCGATGTCGTTTAAATCAGTGATAGGGAATATCACAGAAGATTGGTGAAATTTAATGAAGTGGCATATATTATCTTGTCGCTGAGATGCCTAAAGCAGCCCACTGGCTATCAAGGTAATATTTTCTTGGTTAAGAAAAAAATGGGGAAATCATCCGTCTAAATTAGAACCCCCTGTTTACATGAGCATCCTTCTGTGTCAAACAATCT